CAGCACGCACAGCTGTGCCAAGGACCGCCCAGCCGCAGTCCGCAAGGCCAGCCAGTCAGTCAACCAACGCCAGTAGCCAGGCCAGGCAGCGCCCGTGTGCGCAGCACTCGGCAGGCCGCTGGCCGAGCCGGCACCCGACTGTCCGGTTCAGCAAACCGGCAGTCCGGTCCAGACCGGTTCAGACCGGCTGGACCGGTTCAGTCAGTATTCTTCAGTTTCAGTCCCGTTTCATGATTTCAGTGTCATTTTCAGTTAAAAATTCTGGGTCCAGTTCAGTTCAGTAAATTTATATCAGATCAGTTTCATATTTAACTGGTTCCAGTTATACCGATTAAATCCGAATATCATATCAGGTTCAGTAGAGCATCTTAACATAATTAATCAGTTAATTTATCAAGTCTGAGCATAGTCAGTAGTAATTGTTTATATTGTATTTCAGTTTGATCAGGCAACAGCACTACCTTCAGTTTCACGGATCAGGTGGGGACTCAGACTAAGTACTAAATTGATTATAATTACGCTACCATGTTTGAGGTATGTATTATCAGTATCCGCTCGGAATGGTCACCGGTCCATTCTGGGTTCTAGTGGCCCTAATCTGCCCACTACAGTGTGCACATGGTGTCCGGTATTAGTTTTGCCGGCAGATGTTCAGTTATCAGTTACGTGATTTATATCACGAGATCAGTATCAGATTATTCAGACCGGTATCAGATATCAGTTTCAGTTTCAGTTTAGTTCAGTTATATATGCCAGGATCATGATATTGTTATTATTTTCAATGTTTACATTAGTATGAGTTTCTGCGGAGCACAGTTATTTAGTGCTCACGCCCCCACGTATTTCATGTCTTTCAGGTCGCAGATTCGGGAACGAGGAGTGAGTTGACGGGCAGTTCAGGATATTTGTGGATATGTATATATATGTTTTGGCTACACTGCTATTCCGCTATCAGTTTTCGGTACTTTTAAACAGTTTTTGATCCGACGTAGGTCGGTTAAGATATTTCCGAACCGTTTTTATTATAAGTTTTAAAATTAACGGTTTTTCAGTCAGATTTTCACGGTAGCGCCCCGAATCAGTTTTCGCAAAATAAATATTTTATTATATTATTCAGAGAACTTGCGAAAAAATGCATACTCTGATATTATTAAAATAGCGGGGTGTTACAATTTGTATCAGAGCACGTTTTTGCGTCTCTGAAAAGTTTTTCAGTCAGTAATTTTCAGAAAAACCTGAACCGTCATGCACACGCCTCGCCGACTACAGGTAGGTGCTGATTTAGTTTTCAGTTATAAACATATTACTTTGTCTATGCTCAGAAATTATGAATCAGGACTTAGTTAAGATGCTCGAATCAGGTTAGAACTTTAGAATTCAGTAGATTCAGATATGACTCTAGAATTCAGTATCTTCCGATATGACTCTAGATTTCCTCAGGATTCATATCAGTATTTATTGGCCATTTTTGGCAACTCGTCAAGAGATTTGTGTGCGTTAGTAATCAGTCAGAATATTATCATGTGTTCAATAAGGTTGAACTTTCTCCATGTTCAGATGCCGCCCCGTAGGGAACCCGATCACCCGGCTCTTACTCAGGCCATAGTAGTCGCACAGTTCCACGAGTATCATGCTGAGAAATTCTCTGGGCAGGGAGATCCCCGTATTGTGGACGAGTGGATTCAGGGCCTTGAGTTTATCTTCGAGGTCATGGATTGTCCAGACAGATATCGCGTAATCTGCGCTCAGCTTCAGCTAACCGGCGATGCCCGGCTCTGGTGGAATGCCTACTGGAGCATGCGTCCCGGCGAAAAGGAGGGATGTACATGGGATAGGCTCAAGGAGGTGATCCGCGAAAAGTACTACCCCACCTATTACAGAGCAGAGATGGAGCGTCAGTTCTTATCGCTCCAGCAGGGTACTCGTTCTGTTGACGAGTACGAGAGGGAGTTTACCAGACTTGCAGGTTTTGTTCCGGACCTGGTTCGTACGGAGGCACAGAGGGCACAGCGCTTCATTGACGGGCTTTACCCAGCAGTCCGTCACAATATTGTAGGTCACGGGACCCAGACGTATGCTCGTGCTGTTTCGATTGCCCAGGAGGTGGACGCCAATATCAGGAGGGAGGCCGTCCGTGATCGTTCTCAGCCATCCGCCCCCGCCCAGTCATCCGCAGCTCCATCAGCCTTACCAGTTGCCCAGTCACCGAGGAACAACAAAAGGAAGGGAAAGGGTACACAGACTGATAGGAGGACTCGCCGGAGGCAGCAGCAGACTCCACAGTGCCCCACATGTGGACGACTTCACCGAGGCGAGTGTCGCTTTGGCCAGGATGTATGCTATTACTGTCACGAGCCCGGACACTTTGCTAACCGTTGTCCGATGAAGGCGCAGCAGCCTCAACAGCCACCGCAGCAGCAGCAGCAGCCCCGTCAGCAGGCTTAGAGGCCGCCTCAGCAACAGCAGCAGAGGGGCAGACAGCAGGCCCGAGTTTACGCAGTCGATTAGGCAGAGGCCGAGCAGCAGCCAGGTACTATGTCAGGGATGGTTGTGCTTAATAGTATTCCTGTTTTTGCTTTGTTCGACACTAGAGCAACACATTCTTTTATTTCACGACGATGTCTTGATGCCATCGGAGTTCATGCCGTTACCGCTGTCAATCCTCTCGAGGTGAGTTTAGCCTCGGGACGAAAGATAGTGACCTCAGCTAAAGCTTCAGATCTTAGCCTTTCCATCGGTGGCCGAGTATTGTCTACCGACGTGTTTGTTCTCGAGATGAGGGACTTCGACCTTATTCTCGGAATGGATTGGCTATCCTTTTATCATGCAGATATCAGATGTCATGACCGGGAGATTACTCTCTATCTTCTAGGAGACGATTCGATCACTTTCTTTGGCTCCAGAAATCGTTCATTACCTCATGTTGTTTCGATGGCGAAATCCACTAAGTTGCTGCGACGAGGCAACTGCCAGGGTTATCTGGTGAGCCTTGTCGATGATTCTCAGAAAACACGATCACCTCACGACGTTCCAGTTGTTCGTGAGTTTGTGGACGTGTTCCCAGATGAGCTTCCAAGAGGACCGTTCTAACCGGTAGGTGGAGTTCTCTATTGATCTCATTCCAGGAGCCGGCCCAGTATCCAAAGCCCCATATCGTATGGCGCCGAAGGAGTTGCAGGAGCTTAAGGCACAAATTCAGGAGCTTTTACGACTCGGGTTCATCCGACCGAGCGTGTCACCTTGGGGAGCACCCGTTCTCTTTGTTAAGAAGAAGGAAAGATCCATGCGCATGTGTATCGACTACCGGGATCTGAACCGGTTGACGATCAAGAACAAGTATCTGCTTCCCAGGATCGACGACTTATTCGATCAGTTGAGGGGAGCTTGTGTGTTTTCAAAGATTTATTTACGATCAGGCTACCACCAGCTAAAGATTAAAGAGTCGGATATTGCTAAGACCGCTTTCAGGACTCGTTACGGCCATTACGAGTTCGTTGTCATGCCATTCGGCCTCAGTAATGCTCCAGCGGTCTTCATGGACCTAATGAACCGTATTTTCCATTCCTACCTCGATCAATTTGTTGTCTTTATTGACGATATTCTTATCTACTCGAAGAGCCAGAAGGAGCACGAGGAGCATCTGAGGGTGGTTCTCAAAACCCTCAGACGAGAAAAGTTATTTGCAAAATTCTCCAAATGCGAGTTCTGGCTCAAGCGAGTAGCCTTTCTGGGTCATGTTATTACTCAGGCAGGTATCGAGGTGGATCCTTCCAAGGTCTCAGCTGTTCAGAACTGGTCGACACCGAGGAGTCCGTCCAAGGTTCGCAGTTTTCTCGGTTTAGCTGGTTACTATCGCAGGTTTATCGAGGGCTTTTCTAAAATGTAGTCTTGGCCGATTTTTCTCTACTACATACACGAAAGAATTACATTGTTCGAGAGTTAGGGAGATTCGATTAAACGCTCCACCAAGTTTTATCGGAATAGGTGTTTAAGTAATCCGTTAGAAGGCTTTTGGGTACAATTAATTGAGCTTTCTAATATATATATTTTCCGGTCATCATCATCACATCATCATCGCCGATCGCCGCCCATCACCGCCGTGATCTGCCGCCGGAAAATCGCATCGCCGCCGGAAGCCGCCCGTGTCCAGCAGATCGCAACCGCCCGCTACCGCAAGCAGTTGCGCCCAGCCAGACGCAGTCGGCGATGCCTAGCAATGTGCACCGCGTGCTCCCAGCAACGCCCGTTCGCATCCGCTGCCAGTCGACGCCCGCGCAAGGTCCCAGCGCGCATCTTACACGCGCGCGACACTCCTTGTGCGCCCAGGATTCCTTGTACCGTA